CCAGTACGAGCGGGAGAAAGCGCTGAGGAAAAACGCAGAGGAGGTGAGTTAAATGGGAGTTGAGGGACAGAAAGAAAAAGGGAAAAAGGAAGCCAGTATCCTTTTGTGGAGGCTTGAAGGTTGCCTCAGGTGTTTTTTTTGTCCTCCCAGCATCCTCTTTATAGTGAATTAACCTATACACGTGGCCGGGCAGCATCCAACCCGACCTGCCGTGGTGCTCAATGGGGATGTAAACAAGGCAGTGTCATGGCTAACGTCAGGCACAAATGTATTAGCTTGTGTCTAATCCCAGGATGGGAGTTCTTCTTACTCACTGTCAACAACAACAACAAAAGGGCATCTTTCTAACAAACAAAACATAAACCGGCCTCCCGTTATCAAACACACCCACTATAATCTCAGCTAGCCTATTGCATCAGATAGTGAAGTCACGTCTGAGCCCCGTGAGACCCCGACTGAAGAAACAGCAGGTGAAGTGACTCAGCATTTTGGGACATCACTGTAACATAAGTTTATAAAAGGAAACACAGTGGAAAAGAAGATGGAGACAGACCAGACAGTCAGTCGGATGACAGGGTTTCCTGTAACAGGGCAAGTACAGGCGTAGGAACAAAGTAACCAACCACAGCTTTATCCAAGCTATACATTGTGGTTTTGTTACTCTGTGGTTCACCACTACTACCAGCACCCTGCACTGGCAGCAGATCATTAAGCCACATCTCACCCACACAATCACTGACTCAGCCAATAACTTCACAGTGTATTCAAGATACCCGATATACTGTAGTATACGAAAGAGTCACATTTATATACACGTACAGACTTGGGTCGCCCCCTGATCCAGAGACAGAAGTCATAAAAAAGCAAGTAGATGTCATTGTGTTTATCCAGTGACTCCCAGCTATGGTTTTAAGTCAGTATCTCGTATTAAAGCTCTACTTCAGTCGTGTACTTCAGTAAAGTTGGGAGACTTGTGAGAGACAGATAAAAAAAAAAAGGCTGAGATATCCTGACTATTAGTCCTTTTGTATGGATCGTACAATTCCCATAACGCTGCTTGATAACAGTTCTCAATAGACTCTCCTTGACCTGGTATTGCCCAACAGGACTCTAAGTTAAGGGCATCCCACCGCCCCGGGGGATGGAAAAAAAAGAGAAAAAGATCAGGGACGATTGAAAAATACATTTGAGGACAGTTGCTGGACAGAAAGTAGATCTAGCCTTTAAAAAACCAAAAAGTTAAACCACAACATAAATATCTGACAAACATGTCAATGTAGAATTGCGGGAGAGAGCGTAATTCAATGTGCAAGCAGTCTGTTACACACAGCAAGAAGATAACCGCTATCTGAAAGCAGTGTACCTCTTTCACTATGATCCACGGCCTTTTCATTTATGCCGCACATCACTTTTAATTATCGCAATCATTTTATCCACACTGTAACAGTCTTTCTGTTATAAATAGGTGGCTTGCAAACCCAAGTTAAGATAATTATAGATTCAGTCTTTAGAAAGTGCCTCTGGAACCATAGAAGACATCGTTCACACAGGCGGAGCAGTGACAGGTAAACTGACTTGTAAGATTGGTGGA